CCCTCCACCCTCCCCCCTCCATCCATCCATCCATCTATCCATCCATCCATCCATCCATCCATCTATCCATTCATCATTCAATCAATCAATCAATATTTTATTTAACAGTCTCTAGCATTATATTGGACTCCCGATAACAATCCTCGGGAAATCAGAAAATCATTTTTATCTCCTGGATACGCGTAGAAATGAGTTATTGTGAACAAGGGGCCATTTTGCATGACCATGCGCGAACTGCTGTGCTGTGAGATAGTAATGTAGGCTCAACACAGGGTACCCACGCATTTAGCTTGTAGCAAAATGTCTCGGTGTTCGATTTATTTATTTCTCTTTCTAATAATTTTCACATTTATTTGAAACTAATCAGCTTCATGTAAAATCGGCTAAAAAAAGTTCACAATAGCTCATATAATTTATTCATAGGCAAAGCAAGACTATGCACTTGCAGAAAATTGATAATTGCTCTATTTTCCCCAATTTTTCTAACTAATCAAACACGATAGGTCGAAAGCACAGATAAGGGACTGTGCAATAATTACCGGGAGGGGGAGGGGTTCTAAAATTAATAGTGGGGGGGTCAAAAGTTAAATTGGAGTGTAGGGTAGGGGGGTTAGAAGCTAATTGCTTAAATATGGAGAGGGGGGCCATACGTTAATTTGGGATTTTGTTCACTATAAAATTGAAAAGATGCATATAAATGTATTTAAAATAAATATTTATTGTTATATTTTTTACTGTAAAAAGAACACAACTTGTCACAGGTGCAGCCTCAAAACCATATGTGTTGAAATAATGTATAAACTGAGTATCCTTTGTAAAAAAAAAACAGTACAAAAAACAGTAGCTAAAAACAGTACAAGTCACAACTTTCTATACTGTACTGTGGTAAAGTTATGCCACATTGATTGACTGTATACAGTATAAGACAACTGACTATGTCATGTCTTTTTTGGTTAGCTTTGTAATAATTCTTCTAGCTTTATGTTCATGATATTTAGTGCTATGTCATGGATAAAAACAGAAGTACTGAACAAGCTCCTTGGCTTCCCCAACAAAACATTTCGAAGAAAGAAGATCCCTCAGACAGGATTTGTCAGTTTGAGATGTAAATATTAGTAGAGTATCCTCATCAATATTATCAAGTTGTCGGATGCCATATATCTCAGGGCTGTATTCATTTGCTGAAGGATTTCCTCCTAAGGAATTAAATATAACACATGCCCTTTTCTATGTTCTGTTGCCGAGAATTTGCGTTTTTCATTTTTTTTCTTATTTTCATTTTTCTTCCGTGAAACTGATGACTTCTGTTTCGATCCAATCATGTAGGTAGCATTGGGGCGTTGCTGGCGATGTAGGGGGGGGGGGGGTTGATAGTTATTTCATTTCAAAAGGGGGAGGGGTGAGAAGTTATTTTACGTTTATAGCACAGGGGCGGTTTAGCTTCAATTTAAGCCCAATTTGGAGAATTTTAGAACCCCCCTCCCGATAATTATTGCACAGTCCCTAACAAAGACATCACATCAAATGAATTTTGAGTGGTAGTTTCTCTCACAAGTCAGAAAAGTACTGGAGAATAAAGATAAACACATAAACATAATTATACTGCATTTGATACTTTAGAAAATTGTTCGATTGCTGGGATATCGAGAATCCCTTTCCGGCAAGGATACATATAACTAAAATGTGCATTATTTCGGCTCGAGCATTTGAATTACAAAAGTTTTGACCAATTTATAAATGACTATGCAAACAATGTTTACAACTTTAATGGGCAAAAAAATAKAACTTCCCGAATTTTCCAATCAAAGATCCATAAGCAAACATAATAAACACATATAGATATTATCATTTTTGCTTGCAGTACAGTGGTATTTTCAACTACTTTTACAAATATTTCAAGGAGAARAACGCCGAAAAGCTCGAATCATGAATATATGATATATGAAAGAAAGGCGAATATTTTCGCATGTCATTGCAGGCGATTAATATACACATGATATCGTAATAAAATAAGAATAGCATAACACTCAACTTTATAGCAAATCTGGCATCAAATAGTCTTACTTCTTCAGTAAAATCAATAGCTAAGTATATCACAACAGTCGCCATTTTTGAGGTAGCTCGCATGGCTCTTTGCAATTATGTTTTGCGAAGACTTTATATGTTGACATTCACTTGAATTGCACAAATGATACATATTCGATGTCAGGCTTAATGTCTGAGCCTATATCGAATCGTTTCAGAAGACGAAAAAGCAGATCTTTGAGCATATTTATCAGAGTATCGCCACATGATCGAAACTCTATACAGTACACATGAGCTCAGGTATGGCGCGCATGCGCAGCAAAATGGCCCCTTTTTGTTATTGTGAGGGGTTTGGATAGGCAAATGTGTCACTAGACAACTAAGCCGTGTAAAAATGTTTTCAAGAAAGATTTATTGATAACTATTATATCTGGAGTACTTATCCAGAATTAATGAAGCTTTAGAGTTATATTTATTTTACTTATGTTTATCTTATATCAAACATATTATCATATCTTAATTCAAGCAGTCAGTTTTAAATTACCTGTTTTAAAGAGAAGAGATAACTAGCTAAAAACTAGTGTGAGCTGCGTCGGTGTTTCTAATTAATGAAACAGTAATGATAAAAAGGTAAATTATACACCGTGAAAAGATGAAAAAACTTACTGACGTTTCGGACGCTAGTCCTTCGTCGGAGTAAAAGAGAAGGAGGTGGTAGAAAGGAGTGTTTATATGATAGAATAAGACAAAAGAAACCAATGAGAACAAGGTAGGCAAGGAAACAAAAACAAACAATCAAAAGACAAAAGAAAGGGTTAGTTGAAAGCAAAGCGTTCATTATCCCGTTGGGACTAAGAGTGCCCAATAGGTGAATAAGCCGCATTTCTTTGGTCTTGCGACAATCATTGTTGCCGTTAATCAAAGAAAGACCGAAAACAATGAAGTCAGAAAGAGAATGGTTAGCTAGATTGAAATGGAGGGAAACTGGTTTGGTGGGATCGTTATTGCGAATATCATCTTTCTTTGATTAACGGCAACAATGATATGTCAGCTGTACAGTCTAAGAGGATGAATAAAGTAGTTTCTGATCCTCGAAAACCCCCGCATCCTCCTTTCAATTGTTCAGAAAAGGAGCATGCCTCTATTTTCTAAGGCAACAAGTGGAAGGGCGCGCTTCCTCTTCCCTCCCCCCACATGATTGAGTTGACCGGTGGACTGGGAACTAATGTCATAGACTTTGTAAACAACGCGATAGTAGGTTGGAAAGGCGTGTATTTTTTTAAATTTAGCAGGAGAATTTTAATTTTTGCTGCTGTTTCTACTTGCATAAGTGCTGAAGGGCTCTTTAAAATAATTTTCCTGCATCAAACAAATATTAGAAGAGCAACAATGTTACCAAAGCTAGATGGTCGGTTAAAAGCAACAAAGATGGAATGTTGGGACCTCGACTACACACAAATCACTGAAAATCTTTCATGCTTAAAGGGTAGAGCAGCTGCTGAAACAGCTAATCTGGCTTGAAAAGATACTATTAAACACTAATCCATCTTCTGAGAGTCAAGTAAGTAAAATAAATACAAGATAAGTTACGCCAACCGCGAGAGTTATGATAGCGTGGAAGTTCTTCGACCAACAATTTTAACCGATGCAGCCAAAGTTTTAAGGTTTGCTACTTTTCCAAATTTGCTGCTCTGACAAATTTGTTTCTTGTTTTTAATAAACCAACATTAGGGCTTTCTGATGGTATAAATAAGGAGCTGTAACTAGGTGCCACATTTTTGAAATCGTCCTTCAAAATTTAGGCATTTTTTGAGATTTTGAAAAAGTTGTTTTACATAAGGTGACTTTTTATCCGTTTGGTATACAAGGAAATGTAATTTTATTAAAATATTACTGTCAGACGAACTGTAATAACAGATCTTCAAAATAAAAAAAGAAACGCAGAATTTCGTCAAGTATTTATTCTTTTAGAAGGCCATAAAGTTTGAGGTATTTCGGGCACCTCGGAGGCGATAAATCTGTGCCGAGGGTCCTGGAATTTGAATGCTCGGAAAAAATCGCGAATAGGTTTTTTTAGCAAAAAGAAATGGATTTTTGTGATAACTATGGTGRTATCTATCTATCAACAGAAAATGAGGAAAATCGATTTTTGAAACGAAAATCAGTGGTCGGATTTTACTGCGACAGCCTCTTAATGTCGACTGCACCATATAGAGAAGGTTCTTGTGAATTGAATGCGAGTGCATCTGGACTAGCAGCTAGCCATGGCCATTTAGGATTTACCACCAAGCTAACACACTCACAGACCTTAACTTGATGATCAACTGATTCATAATATTGTAATAGTGCATTTTCTTCATTATCTTTACCCCATCTACAACTTAGAGGAATTCTCTGACTTCCAYTATTTGTTTTGATTTTTTCTAAAAGGCTTTTGGGAAAAATTGACTCTCTCCTATTCATCACTGCACCAAAATTGGAAGCAGTCAGTCTCTTCTCTCTATGCTTATACCACTCTGGGCAGTCAGCCTGGCCTCTGGTATTCCTCTCAATTTCCAGACTTTCAGCAATACTAACCTTGGTTCTCTTCTTAACAATTTCAATTTGTTCAGGGGAAATTCCAATGAATGGATCAGATGCTTGATCAAGTTCTAACACTCTGTATTTAAGTGAAGGAGAACCTTTTTCTTTTTTTCTAGTTTTATCTTGGATGGTAGGTTTTGGCAGTAATCTTCATAATCAAATGGCTCATAGTCATGATCGTCTAGTATATCTGCTAATGGAGACTTATCTTCAAGACTATTTCTCAGTCGTTTCAAATCACTTTTTGTTACTTTCTCAGAGAAAGTAGGAGCAGCGTTAAAACCCGCCCTTCTACCCTTAACAATTGGTCGCTTACGTCCAAGTCTATCTTCCTGATAGTCTGCTTGTTCAAATAGCAAATCTTCAAAAAGCACCGCTCCCCTCTGCAATACAGTAGCTTTTCAGTACACGATAATTGAACCGGTACTTCTGTTAATTCAAGTTCTCTATAATCAAGTAATTGAAATAAGAGTGCAGCTACATGTTTGCAGCAGCCACCTTTTCCCGCTGGACATTCACAGCTGGAATTAACAACTTTTCCCGAGTGACAGCTAAGATGGACGTAAACAGAGTAATCTTCCTTCTTCATTTGAGCATTGACTTTGCCTCGTACCATGAGGAGCTTTGGTCAAAAAAGTTTACTTTGCATGAGGTCTTTTTAGCTGTGAAGTAATGTCAACATACACTCGTTCTTTGTAATTAGAGCAAATACACGGTAAGTCATTCCATCATCAACTTTTTGTTTGAGGTTTTATTCATGGACCTGATTTCCTACTGCCTTATCCGCGCAAAATATCACAAATAGCACTTTCGACAACTTCATAACCCTAAACCGGTGACATAACGAGTTTGTAGAAATGAATGTCGTCCTTTATGTCGGTCGCGCGCCTGTATATCTTGATCAAGTCCGCCTCTCGGCCACACTAATTGTTATTTTTTTGTATTAGAACATATATTCAAAAGTCGACGTGCTAAAAGGTCACAAGGAGGGGGGGTCAAGAAAATTTTTTTAGATAGAATTGGGGGGGGGG